CATGTGATAGGCAATTGACTGAACACCGTTTGTTGTATGACCCATCATTTCCTCACTGATCTGAAATGACATCTTTATCCCCGTATACATTGGTCCTTGTGTTCTTTGTCCTGGTGATGTATTGCGTTCAACACTCCCAATGACATTCATCTGTTTGCTAAACATCGTTGATAAGATGTTCCATTTTAACCAGAGGAATATGAACTTCTTTATTCTTGTACCCTCTAACGAATGTTAAATTTAACCAGCACAACTGTTTACTAATCTAAAATTACCAGCCTCTTTCTTTTTTTTTTTTTTTTTTTTTTTCTTTCGTTTTGCGGTACGCGGGACTCTCACTGTTGTGGCCTCTCCCGTTGCGGAGCACAGGCTCCGGACGCGCAGGCTCAGCGGCCATGGCTCACGGGCCCAGCCGCTCCGCGGCATGTGGGATCTTCCCGGACCGGGGCACGAACCCGTGTCCCCTGCATCGGCAGGTGGACTCTCCACCACTGCGCCACCAGGGAAGCCCACCAGGCTCTTTCTTTATGGGTCCTTTAGTGAGAACATAAGTGGCAGAGGACTGTATCCTGGGCTGTGTTATGTAAATTGTGGAAGAAGCCCTGAGCTGCTGTATTGGTTACTGCCTGCCACCTGCAGTGACTCGCACCTTTATTTTCTGCTCCCTTGGAGATTTCCCAGGCTTTCTTAGACTCAGTTTTTGCTCAGTGAATTTATAATTAAATACTACTGGTTAAAAAAATGTGAAAACTTCTTAAATTTAGTTTACAAAAAGACTTCCTTTGGGTTATTCTTTATTCATTTTGGATTACTCTTTTTTTTTTTTTTTTTTGCGGTACGTGGGCCTCTCACTGCTGTGGCCTCTCCCATTGCAGAGCACAGGCTCTGGATGCACAGGCTCAGTGGCCATGGCTCACGGGTCTAGCCGCTCTGCGACATGTGGGATCTTCCCGGACCGGGGCACGAACCCGTGTCCCCTGCATCGGCAGGTGGACTCTCAACCACTGCGCCACCAGGGAAGCCCTGGATTACTCTTTTAAACACACAGTAGAAGCCTCTTTCAACTGAGCTTTTAGATAAATATGTACTATAATACACTTGTTCCAATGCATACTTAACTACAGAGTAATTCTTTTCAAGGGTATTGGTTCAAAAAGTATATTCTGAACATGCAGAGAAAGAAATCACATTTCTAAATATATATGCATGCATGCACTATATAACTGTTTGGGGAATCTATTTTTCAAATGAATTGAAATTGCCTTTCGTATACAGTGAGGAAATTGCTAATGATGATCCAGATAGTTGAACTGTACTGCATTTAATAGAAAGACTACCAACAGTAATCAAAAGCGAACTGAGTACCTCCTGTATTTTCTGAACTTGTTTAATATCATTTACCTTAACCCTCATGACAGCCTTATGAGATACATATATTATTCCCATAAAATAACAACAACAACAAAGTACTCCATGGTCAGCAAGTGTGGAAGGGAGAATGTTAAAGAAAACTAACACAGTTCTTTAAGTAGAAATTTCAGAAGATTTTAATGTCCATTTACATACACAACCTGTCCGATTATTAGCAGTAGACCAAGACAGTCTTTAATTTCACACAGGAGTTTGGGAGTGGTGAGGCAGATACATAGCTTCCCTTGGGGGAACTAGGAAAGGAATGTTCATTGGGACGTGTGTGCACGTTAGCGCATGACATCTGTGCCCGCTCTCTCTGCATTTCCTTTTCTTTGTCGGTAAGACAGTACTACCAGTACATGTTAATAAATACATAGAAATTACCTGATTGTGTCTTAGTGATACTACTTTATTCTCTCTGGTTCCGTAGTTAACTCACGATGTTTGCCACACCAGCTCACCAGCACAGTCTTGTGACTGACAATCTGATGGCTTGGGTGGGAAGTTATGACCTGGGAGGAAAGGAGCAGTGCAGAAGGATGAGTTCTACCAGATGTGAGCCTTGTGCAGCTTGGTTCGTTGTAACAGATGGGCGCAGGCAGAGACAGACCAGCAGACTGTGATAGAAAATCCAGAATTAGCTTCAAATAAATAAAATATTGATGAAGGTAGCATTTCAAGTCAGTGGGGGAAAGGTAGACTATTAAGATGTTGTCTTGACAGCTCTGGCTAGCAGTCTGGATCCACAGTTCACACCACACTCTAGGAGAATTTTGTAAGGGATCTAATATTCAGTGGAACATAATGAAACTATTCAAGTACTAGAACCAAATTCGGGACAATCCTTTTATGACCTCCAAGTAAGGAAGCCATAGGACAAAAGATGAACAAAATAAAACACTTCTGCTTTTCAGAAGATGCTGTAAGCAAAGTCTAAAGGAAACTAAGGAAGAAATATTTGTTACTTTTGTCATAAAGTATCTACCTCCTTTATGTATAAGAGAATGACTAACAACCCTTAGGAAAAAAACTGATCAAAAATATGGAAAAGCAGTACAGAGAAAAGAAAATACATATGACATTTCAATATTCAAAGAAACTTTATTCGTTACAAAAGAAATGCAGATTAAAACTTTTAAAGTTTAAAAATTGAAACCCCAGTGAGCTACCATTTTTCACCCACCAAGTTGGCAAAAATGTGAAAGTTTGGTAACACAACACACTACAGTGGCACGAATGTGCAGAAACAGACTCTCTCAAACGTTGTTGGTGGACGTGTAAATTGCTACAACTCCTCTGGATGGCAGTTGGGCAGCATTTATCAAAATTACAAAAGCGTATGCCCATTGCCATTGGAAGCAATTCCACTTGGCATCCTGAGATTTTCTTGGCATCCTGAGAAATGGAAAGTGTTTCACAAGAGGATTCATTGCAACCTTGTTTATACTAGGAAATGATTGGAAACAACCTAAATGCTCATGAGTAGAGGGTCAGTTAAATATAATACTCTCTGTCCTTACCATGAAATACTGCCTGGCTATTAACAAAGGAAGGAAAGGAGGTGGAGCAGAGGGAGGGAGTAGGGGAGGGTAGAGGGAGGCATCAGGAAGGACACTCTGCTCTAACATAGTCACGTGGAAACAACATCCCCACGCCTTGTTGTTAGGTGGAAGAAGGTGCTGCTGACAACGTGTTATGCCAACAGATTTACATACAAGAAGAGGGGAGAAAAGAAGATACAGTGTGTTTGTGGATTGGAAAAATCATTCTTAATTCTCCCAAAAGATTGATAAGAAGTTAGGGATCCCGGGTCCCTGGTGGAGGTGGGGGTGATCCGGCCCGTGCTGGAGGAGGCTTTACTATATCTGTCTATCACTACTAGACTGTTTGATGTTTGAAATATGTGAAAGTATGTTTCTTCAACTTCAGCGGTGCATTATTTTTTAATAACTGAAATAATATGCATCAAAAGAGGAAAAAAATATTCATTAGGATTCTTTTTAAGCTTCCTTCTTATTAGGTTAAATAACATACATTTAACATGATTTTGTGTTAATAGGCAGTGAGTGTGTAGTACTGACATAGTCTTGTGGCGTTCTAGAAGCACTTGTGGTTTATTTTATTAATTTATTATTTTAAAATGCATTGCTTTTGAACTGAATAAAATATTTCCTTTATTACATATTTTTTAAGAAGCCGTAAAATTAGGTCGCATCTCTGGTCCTTTTGCTAATTGCCCAGCCCACGCTTTATATACTTATACACGTATATATGTACATATATGTAAAGCTGCCTCAAATTTTTCAGTGTGCCATATTTCAAAATTTCATTTGAAATGTCCTCATAATTCAGAATGCCTTCTCCATAAACCCAATGCTTGCGCTCATCGGCCCAGCAAGTCCGGCATGAATCCCTGCTCCCCACAAGGAGCCTGCAGCCTTGCGCTGAGGCATCTAACTTCCCATGGAACTGTCTTGATTACTGTTGCTTCGTAAGTTTTGAAATCAGAAAGTGTGAGTCCTCAACTTAGTTCTTTGTGAGACTGTATTGAGTCTTCTAGGTTCCATGCGTTTCCTTGTGAATTTTAGAATCAGCATTTCAATTTCTATAAGAAATCCAGCTGAGATTTTGATAGGGTTGCACTGAATCTGTACATCAATTTGGGGAGTATTGCCATCTTAATAATATTAAGTCTTCCAATCTATGAACATGGGACTCTCTTTAGAAATCAATGTCCAACTGAAGACATATTCAGTCACCCACTCTTAATGATCCTATGCCCGCTCGGTTTAACTGCTGTTAATTGGTCGCGGTCTGGGGGCACAGTTGCAGTGCCTGTGCTGAGAGGGCTGGGAGCAGGCGGTGAACAGTTTGCCTCATGAGCAGTTCCCTGTGCCCAGGGTTCTGGTCATTTCAGGCCTTGCATTTCTGCGTCTGCAGGAAAGCAGTGGGAGAGGAGTCTATTTTCAGGGACAATTTAGTGGGAAATATACAGACCCTCAATTGTATTTATTCAGTCCATCCCTCTTCAAAACCTACACCGGTACAGGAGCCTCACTGGAACTTCGCACATTGCCCAACTGTGGGCTGAGGGGCTGTTTCCAGCTACTTTTTTATCGTCAGACTATCTTAGAGCCTTACTTAGAAGCAGCTCACTTGACAGGTCTAAAAGTCAAGGCATCTTTTTTTCCTTAATGCTCCAATTTCAGTGGAGGTGACAGGGCTTGCCTTTGTATCAGTACTCCGTGGTGCAAGGTGTGTTCTCGGGATTAAGGAAACTCCTTCACTGCCCTCAAGTGGTACCAGAATAATTTGATATTAAAATGATAGAACTTGGGACTTTGTGTTTCCAGTTCTACATAGAAATGAATTGCTCAGGTAAAAGCCAACCTAGAAATTAGCACCAAGGTTATAAAAGCTCCCAGCCTCATATGATTCATGTTAACTCTTACAGAGCACAACACTTATAGCATACATAGCACCTGACACCTGTGAGGCCTGCATGAGTGGTCACTGCCATCATGATCTGTGGTGTCATGTTACTGATTTGACCTTAATTCCGTTTACTTTTCTTTCTTCCTTGGTAGGTCAAACTGTGCTGAAAATATCCGCAAACACATTCTACACACGGGCAAACATGAAGGGGTCAAGATGTACAACTGCCCCAAGTGTGACTATGGAACCAACGTCCCTGTGGAGTTTCGAAACCACTTGAAAGAGCAGCACCCTGACATCGAAAACCCTGACCTGGCCTACTTGCACGCAGGTAAGAAACGAAAACTATTACGTAAAATGCTCACTCATCGCAATAGTTACTAGGCTGTTTGTGTATTACCAGCCTTTATTTAAATGTGGTAGCATGTGTGATAGTATCTGCTTCAAGACTCATAAAAAAGAACACTTGGTCTTATCCCACTCAACTATAAAAACAGGTCTTTTCAATTATATTTCATCAAGAGCAAATATGACGAAATAATCATCGCAGGACAGCAGAGTTATTAATGGCAAATACTCAAAACGCGGTTGAGCTGAGACAGTAGTAGTTGTTTGAGCTTCGTATTTTGGCTAATTGATAAGGTTTTTAATGTTTTTTCAAAAAATGTTTGTGATTTAAAATGTTATGGCTGCCCTCTCCCTTGTACCACGGTTTTCCAGTAGATACCTGGAGAGGGGAAGAATGTGACTGAGGAGAGCAGGAGAACCTGGATGGGGTAACAGAGTGCCACACGTGTCCCCAAAGCTAGGAGGGACCGTGCTACGGGTTCCAGGGAACGTTGGTGATGGCAGAGGCTGCTGAGATCGCTCTGGCCTTGTTGGACTGGCCGTCAGGTGCTGTGCGAGGATCAGATACGCAGCACCAACTGCAGGGTTAAGCACACTGACCCCTGGAGCCCAGCCTTTTGTTTAGTGAACAAGGGGGCCTTGAGCGCAGAGTTCTTCCATGCAGAGTAGCCAGGTGATGGATGGTGAGTGTGGGACCTGTCGGAAGAGGTAGTCCCCTGCAGGACATTTGCCGGAAGTTCCAACTGTAGCCCAAACAGGACTTTATTTAAATAATGCCAGGGGATCCAGGGGATGTTTAAAGCAGGTGCTTTGGGAGCAATTGGAGCTGTATTTAAACTGTCCTCCCCATCCTGGCTGTGTGGGTTACAGGCAGGCTCATCTCATCACCTTAGATTTCTCGTACATAAATCGATGTGGTGGGATCTATTTAAAGGGTTATTGTGAGAATTTAAAAAGATCTTGTCTATGAAGCTCTTAGCACAGTACTCTCGTGCCAAGAATGATCAGTGCAAAGGACTGTGGGTGTTGGTGCTGATGCTGGCGAAGTGACACTAGTGTTTGGAAGTTGTGTGAAATCCCACCCCAGATGCAAGGCTGCCTTTGCAAAATATGTAAATGACATTGGTAGTGTAATGTCTACAGTGAAAGAAACAGGACTTGTTGAGTAACTTGAGGTAGAATAATAGTCCTAATCCATTTGACACTGAATGTAAGGTTATCATTTGTTTTCTGCTGTTGTGTTCTCAACTTTCTCTGTTTATACTCATCAGATTGACTCTTTAAAGTCATGGTAAAACATCTGACTTAGTAATCTCTGTTGTACCCACGTCTGTTTTTGAAAAAGAAAAACGGGGGTCAATATTCTTTGTATTTTGGTGAGGTTGTTACTGAAAAGGTTTTGAACTAGACAGTTCATCAGCTTTAGTTCACAAAAACAGATAAAGTCAAATTGAAGTATCTTCTGGCCATGAGTACCTACGGATTCTTTATTAATATGAGTGCATGGCAATGCAGATGTCAGAAATATTGCCTAAAAGCTGGTGCTTCAAGAAATGGCCAAGCAAAATGATCTAAACTGATGGTAGGTTGTCAGCAAAGTGCCATTTTCAAGGTAGTTTCACTATTTCAGCTTCTCAAGATGTAATATTGACGCATTCTGTCTCTCTCTTCCATTGCACCAATCAGACATTAAAAGTAGGTTATTTTCCTAAAATAAGGTGTCTCTAGCTCTTAAATGAAGTAAACAGCAAAGAAAGGGAGAGGAAGCTAATTGCAGACCAAAGAAACACATTCCTTTTGTTGTCCTGCACAGAAAGGACAGGCTCTTCGCTTCGCCACTGCTGCTCGAGTGATGCTGAGAGTTCTGTTTTGAGATATCATTTGTATAAAATCTTTTTTAGAAAAATTATCCTCGTTTCCTTGTGTATGTGTGTGATGCTCTTGTGCATAGGATCCTAGTTTTCTGTTTGTATTTTTATGATTCTTTTGGAACCTTTTTCTATATAAATCACAGCAGCATTCCTCAGTATTTTGACAAACGAAATCCATGTGGTGCATGTGGGGTGTCACTTGTTTATTCCCCCCGTGCAAGGCAAGATTGCTCCTCAGTAATATATTTGCTTTGATAAACTTAGCTCCGTTAAGAGAAAACTTTAAAACGGCGAAGTTCTTAGATCGACTCTTTGACCTTGTAATTCTGAGTCAACTGTAATACCTTCATGGATGTGTGGAACGCGCCTTCCTCCATGTGAAGTGAGATGTTGACGCGGGCGCTTGCCGCTCTTCCTTCCACGCTCTCCGGTAGAGGAATTAGGCAGCACAGTGGATGAATCCCTGATGCACGGTACTGTGCAGGGTCAGGAGGTGGACTGAAATCTTCAGAGTGGTTTATGGCCCAGACCTGACGGTGACTTACCAGCAGCCTTCTCTGCTGTCAACACTATGCATGTGTTGAGAAATCTGTAATCAAAAATTCAGTGACGCATATGAAGCAGTCCTTTTAAACTACCCCAGGACAAATAAACACATTCACTCTGAATCTGACTTGGCTCTCCCATGTAGATCAAACATCTGATGGTCTCACGAGAAGGAAAATGTTAAACAACAGCAACAGAAAAGATTGTAAATAATGTCATTTGGGGTATTTTAAATTTTAGTTAAGATGATATTTGGAAATGTCTGTGTTAAAATAAGGTATTTAATTTTTTTTGTTGTTGGAAAACAGTTCTGAGAAAGTGGTTTTCCTGCAGTTGTGCTTCCCCTGGGGGCCCTGCAGTGAGGTCCGTGCCATCTCTGAGGTCCCTCCTCACTGTAGCATCCCGTGTTTCTGTGTGCATGGCCTTCAGGGCAGGCTGGGTTTTAACTTCAGCTCTCATTTCCCTGTTGAATGACTTTGGAAACCCTGTTTTAACTCTGTGGGTCTCAGTCTTCCCCTCTGTAAGCTGGGGATAGTGATGCCTACAGCACAGTTTTCATATGATCTAACCAAGATGGTACAATATGTAAACTGTTTGACGTGATAATACTTAGCACCCATCGTTGCCCAGTGTTCTTCTCTGTTGGCTTCCGTTGATGATCCATTGTCTTCTTTCTCAATTGTTGTTGGGAACTAGAAGAATGACTTTGATACCATTTTCCGTTTCATACTCCTGAGAATTAAAGGCTATATGTGAGCTTTAATTTTGGTTGTAGCTTTTGTTGGAAAACAAGATACAAGTGGTCATTTATTTTTTTTTAATAAAAGTGGATTATTTAGAAATGCAGTATTTGATTTCCAGGCATTTGGGGATTTTCTAATTATCTTTTTGTTAACTACTGAAATAGTAATGTAAATTGATTTCTAGCTTACATCTACTGTGCTTACAGAACATAGTCTGAATTATTTTAATCCTTCAGAATCTGTTTATACTTTCTTTATGCCCAGCATATGGTGAGTTTTGGTAAATGTTTGAGACGTACTAGAAATATCGGTGTTGTTTGGTGCTGTATTCTGTGTTTCCTGTATGTCACTTACCTCATTTATTTACTGTATTGCTCAGATTGTCTGTACTCTTACTGATTTTTTTTATGCTAACTCTATCACTATGGTAAGAGAGGTATATTAAAGTTGCCCACTATGATTATGGATTTGTCTGTTTTTCTGTTAACTTTGGCTTTACATGTTTTAAAGATAAATCACTGGATACTTGGAACTTTAGGTTTGTTTTATACATATGCACACCTAAGATAAAAAATATTTAATTCTCTTATAATTATGAAATGTTCCTTTTTATCTGTAGTAATACTTCTTGCCATCATTCTGTGTTTTATATTGTATAGCTATACCAGCTGCCTTATAAACAGCATATAGCTGCATTTTGTTTCTTTTATCTGCAGTGACAACTTTAATCTTTTACCTGAAATAGTCCTTTACTTCATTTATACTTGATAATTGATGTACTCATCATAGTCAAAACCCCAAACTACTCGAATGTCCATCAAGTAGAAAGGTTGCATATTTACCTAATGGAATACTCTACAGCAATGAGAATGATTGAACTACAGCGAAAGCGACAATATGAATAAGTCTCACGATCATATCATTGGATGAAGTTAAGCCAAACAAGAAGGAGTATATTCTGTATTATTTCATTCTTTATTAAATATAAAAGCAGCCAAGACTAATCTGTGGTGTAGAGACCAGTTCCTGGGATGAGGAGAGGCGGTGCTGGTTCTCCTTCTTATCCCTGATGTTGGGACGCGGTTGTGTTCAGTTGGGGAAAATTCCTCAAGCTCTTCTCTGAGTTGTACCCTTTTCTGTATGTACTTCTCTTTTTTTTTTTTTGCGGTACGCGGGCCTCTCACTGCTGTGGCCTCTCCCGTTGCAGAGCACAGGCTCCGGATGCGCAGGCTCAGCGGCCATGGCTCACGGGCCCAGCCGCTCCGTGGCATGTGGGATCTTCCCGGACCGGGGCACGAACCCGTATCCCCTGCATCGGCAGGCGGACTCTCAACCACTGCGCCACCAGGGAAGCCCAGTACTTCTCTTTTTAAAAGAACAGGATTCCCTTGACCCCTAAACTTCCAAAGAGGTTCATTTAGGTCCACTCTAGATCTAATATGATGGGATTATGCAATCACATTAGTCCCGCAGAACTGCTGTCAGATTGCAAGTGGCCAGAATCTTTTCTGTCATTGTACATTACACTTGTTCTCTATTACGTGAAATCCGTTTCATCTCAAAAGTGATCTTTATTTGAGCTTCATAGTTTTAGCAGTTGTATTTCTCCCATCTCTCTTATCCATGAATAAGCTTGGTGTTCATTCACTACACCTTGAGAAAGAATTACACACACTTTATGTTTGCAATACAGGTGACCTTCAATTGGACTTGGGTGGTAATATCTCAGAATACTTTAAAAATAACCTGAAGATTGAGGTGGAGAGGGCCAAGGAGAGAGTGGAGGGGGTGTGCCAGGGCTCTGCTGCTTGTGACTACGAAGA